CAGGACGTCGATAGCAGGATTTGCTGCATGAGCTACTTTTCCGTGTTTGTTACGTGTGTTGTGGTGTGCACGAAGACTTAGAGTAAAGCTGCTCTCTGTCCTTGTGCAGGTCGACTGGTCTTGTCTCCGCCCCCCTCCTGTATTAATGACCAGTCACTGCTGCTCTCTCTACTTGTGCAGGGTGACTGGTCTTGTCTTGTCTCCGCCCCCCTCCTGTAATAAAGACGGGTCAATGCTGCTCTCTCTCCTTGTGCAGGGTGACTGGTCTTGTCTCCGCCCCCTCCTGTAATAAAGACCGGTCAATGCTGCTCTCTCTCCTTGTGCAGGGGGACTGGTCTTGTACTCTACTGAGCTATGTTGTTTTTATTGATGGAATCTACATTGTATGTGTTTTGTGTCTTGCAGCTGCGGATACAATGTATCATTCTACCATTGGATCTGATTTATCAGGCTGAAGGCTACATTGCTGCATGAGATGTGTCTGGCAGCCAGAGGGTTAACTCTCCAGCAAGGGGGGGAGGAGATGCACACCAGGCTTGGGTGCAGGGGGGGGGTCCAGGATATCAGGGGCGTGTTCGGGATGCAGGAGGGGGGGGGGGACACTGGGCAGGGATAGCACTTGCCAAGCTCCGCCCACAACCCCAGCAAGCAGGAGGACAGCAGAGCCTTACAGTTTTAGACAGAACTTCCCCGCTGGAGCCATGGGGGAGATTTGACATGAGACTCCCCCCACCCCCTCCTCCCAAACAACCATAACAAGCTCTGATCCTCGTGGCTGGAAGGACTTTTTTATTGGAATAAGCCCTATGCCGGCCGCAGGAACGAGAGACTGACCGCCATTCGCGAGGGGGAAGGAGCCACCGGCAGGATGAACGGTTTGGCGTACGACGATGGCTCGCTGGACCCGACGCTGTGCCTGCACGGGAACAGCGACATCGACACGGCCCTGCTGAGCGACATTGACGGTGGGTGACCCCCGCGTATGCGGCCCCTTTATATGGCAGTGTGCCCCTTTATATGGCAGTGTGAGCAGGTGGCAGTTTGGGGGCCCCTGTACCCCCCCAATGTATTGTCCCTTCCTGTCCCTGGAACTTGCTGTGCAAATTGGCTAACTGAAAACTAAGTAACACTTATGGCTGAGGTTGGCAACTCCGACCCTCCAGCTGTTGTGGAACTACAAGTCCCATGAGGCATTGCAAGACTGACAGTTACAGGCATGACCCCCCCAGAGGCAGAGGCATGCTGGGATTTGTAGTTAAAGCACAGCACCCCTATGGGCTCAGTGGTCAGCGTTCCCAGATCAGGGACACCTCACATGTTCCGGACATGGTCCTAAACTTTAAAAAATGGCTGTCCGTGCCAGGAGGTGACACTATTTAGGGGATGAGGGGGGGGTGACCACGGACAAAACAATCATTGGTAGAGCCTCAGACTGCCCTGGAAACAGCTGATGACCATGTCAGTGTCCTATGAGGATGGGGACATACTGGGACTGTTCATTCCCTACTCATTGCAGCTTGCTTTGCCTTAGCTGGGACTTGTAGTCCTACAACAGCTACTGATCCCCCCCCCGGGTCCAGTTGTCTGATTAAAAAGTGCAAATATTGAGGCTGTATCTGCTCGCCATTCATTTTAGGGGCTTCTTATTTGTTTCTTCACGCGCTCTGACGTTTGAAACGCGGAACCAATGTCTCCTTCCTCGTGGCTGGAGTGTTAAAGAAAAAGTAGCCCATCTGTGCCCTGTTGATATCATTCCCCCCCATGTGCGTCCCATCAATTGTAGATTCCCACAGGCGTCCCAGGGTTCCTGGCTGAGGCCACGCCCCCAATGTGACGCAACGCAGGGTTACTGTCGGTCAGTGCCTTAGTTTCAGCTGCTCTGTATAGCTATGCACAAAACACTCCGGGATAGTCAACCTCACTCCTATTATAGGCAATATTTACAATTTGCCTAAAATGTTTTATTTTTATTTTTTTTAAAGAAAGATTTAGATTTTTTTAAACTTGTAAATATTTACATTTTTACTACAATTTTTACTATTTTTAATGTTTAAATTTTTTACATATAAATATTTATATTTTAGCCAAAATTTTTTTTTTTAAATGTGTAAACATTTTTTACTTCTCAGTATTTACATTTTGTCTAGAAATGTTTTTACTTTTTTTTAATGTTTACATTTATTATAAATGTTTACATATTTTTTTCTACAATGTTTACATTTATTACTAATATTTATATTTTACCTAATTTTAATTTTTTTTAAATGTGTAAATATTATAACTTCTAAGTACTGTAGTTACATTTTGTCTACAATTTTTTTAGTTATTTTTATAATATATGTAAACATTAAAAAAAAATTGTTTTTTTTTCTACGATTTTTTTTTTTTTTTTTTTTAATCTGATCCCACGTCATCCACTCAGAGCCCTGACGGGATGACATCTAGCATCAATAATAGAGGCTCAGGATCACATGTGGGTGTCACATTGGGAGATTTGTTTTCGGGAAGCAATGTACAGCATCGTGCTGGCCCCTCCCACCAGCCATGATCTACCCACACTGCATGGAGGAGGACAGGTACCCAGTGATGACATCACCGGGTCTAAAATATGGTATCCAATGGAAATGTAAAGGTTTAATGTAATAATATAATTGGCGTGTTGATGAGGTGGTCCAGGATGAGCCAAAATATAAGCAGATTAAACGTCAGCTTTACGTGTCAGGTGAGTGTAATCAGAAGGAGCCAATCAGGAGTGTATGGTACACATCGGAGGCGGGTAGTGTCGGACGATCGGAAGTGACCCTGACAGACTGCGCCATGTAAGTGCTGGAATATTGCTTTTTGCATGGCCGACCATAGGAGGTTGTGACATTCTCAGTGACGGCGGTAAAGGGGTTAATCCCGGAAGCGATGCTTTGGGGTCACTTCAGTCCCACAATGAAGGAGATTTGGAATGATCTTCAATGGAAGCGGGTGAGCCGGACCGACTACATGCAACCCATGACACGTTACCTGCCACACGTCCCATTCATCCTTCCATCCTTCTTCCCATCCATCCTTCCTTCCTACCAAGAAGAGTCCAGCCAAAGCTTGGATAGAGTGGGGTAGGATTAGAGAGTACTATCCTCTCTTCCTGTCCTGGTGACACCAGAGAAAAAAGGGAGTCTGGGGCTTTATTAGAGAGGAATACCCTCAATTCCTGTCCTGATGACACCAGAGGGAAAGTGAGTCTGGGGCTTCATTACAGAGGTTTAACCTCACTTCCTGTCCTGGAGACTTCAGAGAGAACATGAATCCAGGGCTTTGTTAGAGGGGTTTACCCTCACTTCCTGTCCCCGTGACACCAGAGAGAACTTGAGTCCGGGGCTTCATTAGAGAGGACTACTCTCACTTCTCGTCATGGTGACGAATGTGAGTCCGGGGCTTCGTTAGAGAGGGTTACCCTCCCTTCCTCTCCCGGAAGGGGGACAGGAAACCGCCATTGAAGTGAACCTGTTTCTTTACAAGCATGGTTTGAAATTACCTCCTCCTGTGATGACCGAGTGAGACCACGGTTCTCTTCTGACTAGAAACGTCCAGAGAGGCTTCATCCAAACATGGCTTTTGTTACTACAGCCATCAAAATGGCCTCCGACTGCTGAAAAGTAGAGCTGAGCTGACAGAGAAAAGAGCGGTTGATAGAAAAGATGGAGGTTGCTACGGGGTAGGGGGACAAAGTTCACGGAGTTGAGGACCAAAAAGAAGTATGCCAACCAAAAAAACATCCTTAGATGGAGTCATGAGGATGAGAACTTCTGTCAGGTTTTTACTGCCCTCTGGGTCTCCTTTACAGAGATTTACCCTCACTTCCTGTCCTGCTGACAATGTTTTACCAGACAGCAAGTGATGGAACTCTTCACCAGCAGCAGAGATAGAATTTGAAATGCTTTCATTTAGTAGAGTAGGAGAAGACTACAACCCCTAGTATTTCTGTCTGTGTCCCTGCTGCAAATTTCCCCTTCCTGCCTGGTGAAACTGTTGTCTGCAGGACAGGAAATGAGGTAAATCTCTCCCCAGAGATGGGAGTTCTAATCCTTCCTCATATTAGTCAAAACTTGACATGCCCTTTAATGGACCAATGGTGGTAGAGCAGAGTGCAGCATTGTGCTCTGTGGGCCATTATAACCGGCAGGACAGAGTTATGGGTGTACTGGTGAGAGGGCCATATAGATTATAGATTATCTCTGGCCTCAAAACCTTCTGAGTCAATTAACTGGAACAAGTATGCAGCTGGTAAGGAACCTGCATCTGTACCTCCCAAATCTGAAGCCAGTGGATGAACACGGTAGGTAAGACACAGCACTTCCAGGAGAGGCCAGGATTGGCTGCCTACAGATTTCTCCCAGTACATCAGTACAGGTTTCCTTTATTGACCAACTTCCTTCTGGTCCCTCAGATATCATCCGGTGGAGATAACCTTTGATGCCGCTGTTGGCTCCCGATGTGGCCTTTTCACCTGTATTGATTTGGCTGAAAAATGGCCGCCCCCCTCCCCGCTAGTACTTTGGTTTCTTCCACAAGCTGCCCCAGGAATGTCACCGGTCTGTAACAAGCTGTCCGGCTGCATTCTTACAGTGCAAAACTCTAAGCAGCCATGTCACCCGAAAGATTATCGCCATTTACACGGTAAAAGTAAATATGAGCGCAGTGATTGCGGTGCACGGCAGTCAGATACGGCCAATGAACGGCCTCTGAACTGTATGGACTTGTCTGTCCTTTTATATCCTTTCACCGGGTTCCGGAATGCCATAGTAAAGGGGACCTGTCATGTGCACTGCAGCTGAATCCCTGGGGCACATGTAAGCATCACCACAACTCTATCCAAAGCTCGTTAGATTGTATTACACTGAGCAGGGAAGGGGTTATTGTCATCTGGGTCCCTGTTTGGGAGATTTCCCCTCACTTCCTGTTAGGACAGGAAGTTATGGGACACCTCATCAACTGAGACAAAAAAAAACAAATTTTTAGTAGTCTGGGTAATAGGACTTCCAACTATTTTTTTTATTGCTGCTTCTGCCTCTCGCATAGCTTTCTCGGGTATGGCTTTCTCGGGTATGGCTTTCTCGGGTATGGCTTTCTCGGGTATGGCTTTCTCGGGTATGGCTTTCTCGGGTAACGCTTTCTCGGCTAAAGCTTTCTCGGGTATGGCTTTGTCGGGTATGGCTTTGTCGGCTAACGCTTTGTCGGCTAACGCTTTGTCGGCTAACGCTAGGTCGGCTAACGCTTTGTCGGGTACGGCTTCTTATCGATTTATCGCTTATCGATTTCTTGCTTATCGCTTTCTCTCGCAGCGATTCATCGCTTTCTCTTGTACCGCTTTCTCTCGTACCGCTTTCTCGGCTAACGCTTTCAGTATGGCTTTCTCGGGTATGGCTTTCTCGGGTATGGCTTTCTCGGGTATGGCTTTCTCGGGTATGGCTTTCTCGGCTAACGCTTTCTCGGCTAACGCTTTCTCGGGTATGGCTTTGTCGGGTATGGCTTTGTCGGCTAACGCTTTGTCGGCTAACGCTTTGTCGGCTAACGCTAGGTCGGCTAACGCTTTGTCGGGTACGGCTTCTTATCGATTTATCGCTTATCGATTTCTTGCTTATCGCTTTCTCTCGCAGCGATTCATCGCTTTCTCTTGTACCGCTTTCTCTCGTACCGCTTTCTCGGCTAACGCTTTCTCTCGTACCGCTTTCTCGGCTAACGCTTTCTCGGGTACGGCTTTCTCTCGTATCGCTTATCGATTTCTCGCTTATCGATTTTCTCACGTACACCGCTTTCTCGCGTACATCGCTTTCTCGTGTATTGTTTTCTGTCATAATACTGCTTTCTCGTGTATATCTCTTTCTCTTCTATCGCCTCCTTTCCATATCGCTTTCTTCCATATCGCATCTTTCGTACAGCTTTTTTTTTTTTTCTGTCACTTTTTTTTTTTGTATCTCTCTTTCTCTTGTAGCTTTTCTTTTGTATCGATTTCTTTCATATCACTCTTTATTGTATCGCCTTCTTGTGCTGTAGCGAAGCATGGCCCTCAGGCGATGTGTATTGTCAGTTGGCCTGTCAATGTCCTATAATAACCCTGCGAAGGAGGAGGCAGGGCTGCTGAACGCGAGTAACCTTGAGAGACGAGGCTGGTCCTTCCTCCGTCTATGGCCAGGCTGGGCTGGCTCCTTTCGCTCTCCCTGATTGGTCCCTGGCAGTCACCTCATCTGCGAGCTCTGATTCACTCTGTTATTCCCCCCCTCAAGCTTCTTCCAGCGGAGATGGAACTGCCAGGAGAGGTGGAGGGATGGGAGGGTGTGGGAAATCAAGAGAAGGACACACAAAATTCCATGTCACTGTACTTACAATTAACACATCGGCATTTCTCCGCGCCGTGTTGGAGTGTCAGCTCTTGGGCAGGGGCGACCCCACGTTTTCTGGGAGTCCGGCTCTTGCGCCCCACACTCATTTGGCGTACTCATGGAGTGCACTTTTGAAGGTACAGCACTAACGAGCCCAGTGTTCTCCACCACCCCTGTAGCGTTAATTCCGCTTAAGATCCACTTTTGTAAAATGTTACTTGCGATCTTTCGTCCAACGCTGAATATTTCTCGCCATGCCATCGCAGACATTGGCACGCGGCGCTGATTTTACCTGCGCACTGATGTTTGTTTGCAAACAATGGGCAGCCAATGTGGCGAAAGGCTTGCCGGATATTTTATGCAGTTGGGGGAGCTGATAAAAAGTTGCAAGATTTTAGGAATCCTTTTTTTGGGAATCTTTGATGGAAGTGAGACTTCCTTCTGCTTGAAGAAAGCTCTTCTGTGATTTGGGAGGAAATTGCGGTCGCTCATTGCACTTGGTTTTTGTAAGCATGATCACCTGACCGCATGCGGGCGGCTTAGATGATTGGAAGATGATTCCATAGATTGTACAAGTCACAGCTCAGCCGCAGAATACAATTGTAACACGCCGATGTCTTATCACATAGAGAAAAATGTTTTCCAGCTCCTCCAATGACGCAATTTATGTTTTTTTAGTATCTTGTAAATCAGAACACGCTGACGTTTTTTGTCTTCAGTTATTGATCTATTTGGACAATCTCGGTCTGTGCCGAATAATAATAAATCTAGTATATCCTGTAAATGACTATATACTATATACAAGGTGGTACATGAGTATATATTATATACAAGGTGGTAAATGAGCATATATTATATACAAGGTGGTAAATGAGCATATATTATATACGGTACAAGGTGGTAAATGAGTATATACTATATACAAGGTGGTAAATGAGCATATATTATATACAAGGTGGTAAATGAGCATATATTATATACAAGGTGGTAAATGAGCATATATTATATACGGTACAAGGTGGTAAATGAGTATATACTATATACAAGGTGGTAAATGAGCATATATTATATACAAGGTGGTAAATGAGCATATATTATATACAAGGTGGTAAATGAGCCTATATTATATACAAGGTGGTAAATGAGCATATATTATATACAAGGTGGTAAATGAGCATATATTATATACAAGGTGGTAAATGAGCATATATTATATACAAGGTGGTAAATGAGCATATATTATATACAAGGTGGTAAATGAGCATATATTATATACAAGGTGGTAAATGAGCATATATTATATACAAGGTGGTAAATGAGCATATATTATATACGGTACAAGGTGGTAAATGAGTATATACTATATACAAGGTGGTAAATGAGCATATATTATATACAAGGTGGTAAATGAGCATATATTATATACAAGGTGGTAAATGAGCATATATTATATACGGTACAAGGTGGTAAATGAGTATATACTATATACAAGGTGGTAAATGAGCATATATTATATACAAGGTGGTAAATGAGCATATATTATATACAAGGTGGTAAATGAGCATATATTATATACGGTACAAGGTGGTAAATGAGTATATACTATATACAAGGTGGTAAATGAGCATATATTATATACAAGGTGGTAAATGAGCATATATTATATACAAGGTGGTAAATGAGCATATATTATATACGGTACAAGGTGGTAAATGAGTATATACTATATACAAGGTGGTAAATGAGCATATATTATATACAAGGTGGTAAATGAGCCTATATTATATACAAGGTGGTAAATGAGCATATATTATATACAAGGTGGTAAATGAGCATATATTACATACAAGGTGGTAAATGACTATATATTATATACAGGTGAAACTCGAATAATTAGAATATCGTGGAAAGTTCATTTATTTCACTAATGCAACTTAAAAGGTGAAACTAATATATGAGATACACTCATTACATGCAAAGCAAGATAATTCAAGCCGTGATTTGTCATCATTGTGATGATTATGGCTTACAGCTCATGAAAACCCCAAGAACCCCAAATCCACAACCTCAAAAAAGTAGATTATTACATGCAATCAATAAAACAAGGATTGTACATAGAACAATATCGGACCTCTGAAAAGTACAAGCATGCATATGTACCCAGTACTTGGTTTGGGCCCCTTTTGCAGCACTTACTGCAATTACTTTTGCACGATATTCTAATTATTCGAGTTTCACCTGTACATGGTGGTAAATGAGTGTATAGTATACACAAGGTGATAAATGAGCACATATTATATACAAGGTGGTAAATCACTATGTACAAGCTGGTAAATGAGTATATACTATATACAAGGTGGTAAATTAGTGTATATATATACTATATACAAGGTGGTAAATTAGTGTATATATACTATATACAAGGTTGTAGATGAGCATATATTATATACAAGGTGGTAAATGAGTATATACTATATACAAGGTGGTAAATGAGTATATACTACGGTATATACATGTTCAGTGTGCACATTCAATAATACGAGAACACGTTACCCCCCTCACTTATGGCTGAGCGGATTCTGTCCACATGAAGTCTTGTGTTCACTGAGGGCAGATTATCATTTACAGAAAGTTATCATTTACATCTAAAGAGACAGTGGTCCATCGAGTCTGTCCCCCTTTCGGATCTTTTTTTTTTATACCTGCTGCGGTCACACTTTTTTCTTTTTTTTGCAGTTCCATATTTTTCATGCCTGTATTTAATGTAGAGATGAACTATTTTTTAATGACTATCCGCTGTACATGTACACGGCCTGCACCCGGGTGACACCATTGGAGGGGTGCCACCAAAATGACAGTCATTTTGGTGTCACCCCCCTCTGAACAGTTGGGCACTCGGTCATGGACCGGGAGAGAGGAGGGGACCCGGCGGCACACCTTATCCCACCTGTTTACTGTCCCCCTCCTCTCTCTGCCGGCGCCCATTACCAAGAATTCCACTGGCAGGTATCAATAAGATCACCGTGCATGCACGGTGACGTCACGGCGGGGTGTCACCCGGTAACTGCTCCAGGTGACACCCGGCCTCGGGACGCCCGTGGGAACAGTAAAGCTTAGCCACCATGGTGCACTATGAAGCAGGAAGCCGAGCCTGCACATGTAATGAGGGAATACATTTAAGTGTATCATAGCAAAAATCTTTTCTTTATTTTAAGTTTTGGATGGAGTGTGGAAGGGGTTAATTGATGTCTTGGTGTCACACATTGCAGAGCAAGTGGGTGTGTCAGACCTCTACAGAGAGACCACTGCTTCCCCACTGACCGCAATAGTCCTGTGCAGCAAGCTGGCCGAGCTTTTCTACTCGGGCTGTGGCTGCTTTCTAAAGAAAATGAACTGTAAAATATTTTGCACACCTTTTTTTTTTTTTTATGCACCCAACTGAGAGTTTAATTGGCCTTAAAGGGACCACGATGAGTAATAAATATTTGCAGAGTGGTTTATATTTTAGGTCAATCTTACAGTTTTAAGAACAAAGCTTTGCCTTCCTCTAACACTGCATGAAGTTTTATGGCTCTACTTTTCTTCCCCCCTCCCCCTCCAGATATGCTCCAGCTCATCAACAACAATGACAACGATTTTGGGTTCTTCGATGCCTCGTTCGGAGCAGTCACTACTCCGGCCCAGGACCCCGCTCCTAATGTGGACCTCGCAGGAGGGGGCGCCCTCAGCTCCCTGGAGGGGTTACTGGCCGCTCCTACCACCTCCACCCCCATGAAGATGTTCCCGATGCCCACTCCAGGCTTCCGCAGCCCGCCGGCTCCCACCCCCCCTCAGGACAATCTCATGCACCAGCTGAAGCTCGGCTTGCAGAGCATGGTCAAGGATGAGCCCATGCAGGTCTGCCCCACCCCGCAGCATGCCCAGGCCAAGTTACAGGCCACTCCCACAACCCAGCATCTTCAGGGCATGCCGTTCGGGCAGAGCTTGGTTACGTCGGCGCAGCCTCAGTTTAACAACCAGCCCGTGCCCGGATACCAGGAACAGAATGTTGACACAGGTAATTACTGTCGAGGTGTTCGCCAGGCTGGACACTCTGTGACTACCTATCTGGTGCCTATGAAAGGGGTGCATGTGGTCAGGGACAAAGCTTCCGCAGTCATGTGATGCTCAGTTGGCATTAAGTGGCCTAATATGTCCCAGCAATAGATTCCCTTCACCATTATGAGACGCCACCACCGGCTTGAGCGTCGAGTTTTGGTGATCTGGTGACCACTGTAGCCTTGTTTTCTTGTTCTTGATGGACAGGAGTAGAACCCGGCTTGGTCTCCTGCTGTCCTCTTTAAGGCCGAACATGTTGGGTCTTCACAGTGTCCTCCTGCACACAATGACTGTAAGGCCCCATTCACACGTAGCGACATACCTTTTGCAGCGGCCGGGATAGCGCGACTTTCGGGGCGACGTTCCAGCGACGGTAGCGCGACCTTCTCCGTTGGGCTCCATTAGAAAAAAGCAAAATCCGCCGAAAAAAGGGTCCTGTAGAAGCGACTTGCGACCACGACGAGTGACATGGAGCTAAGACCGCTCCATTGAATATCATTAGCCGGCGACTTCTCACGATATCACGCGGTGGAAATCGCTACGCGTGAATGGGGCCTAAGGTGGACAGTTGAGGACTTCCTGTTGACTTGAACAAGTCTGTCTACTAATGAGCTAGTTCAACCATTCTCAGCGAGGTTCTGCCGATGGTTTCTAAAGCTGAACTCAGGCCGAGTTGAACTGTTACAGGTCTTGTCCCTTCCCCAGCCCGTGTTTGGATATTTAAGGAGAAGCAGCAGAGTGATGAGCTCATCTCTCTGCTCACTCCTCCTATTAGCATGTTTCTTGTTGGCACATGAGCAGTGCAGCACAACTGACTGGCCCCTTGTCTTGCTTTCCCTCTCCCAGTGTGATTTCTGCTGTACAGAGACACCAAAAGGCTAAAACCAAGTCAAATATGCACACTGTTTAAATGAATACATGTAATGACATATTCCTGAACATAGAGCTGCATTCATCTGTGTCTTTTTATATATAGCTGGCGTTCAGCTTTAAAAAAAATAGAAACACGTGTTGGACTGTCAGATCTGACTGTCTATGTCCAGCATTAGCTTGGGGGACGGGTAAATTTTTGCCATTAGAGGGCATCATACATGTAAAGGTCTCTAAGGAAGGAACTGCTTTGTTGAAACATTCGGCTATTCTTATTTGCCTTTCACTGTCTTAAAACATATTTGAATGGCCTGTCGAATATCCACTACCTTACATGTGACCTGGTGTATGTCCCAGATCAGGGTTTGGCAAACTACAACCCTCCATCTGTGGTTGCCAACACGTTTCGGGGGTCAAACTCTCCCTTCTGCAGAGCTCTGATTTCAAATGATGGAACTCTTAAGATGGTATTGTTTTAAATACCTATTAGGTGCCCAACGCAAAATTGTTCTGTTTTTTTTATCATCAGCTACACAAGTTGTTGCCACCCCACCCAGCACAGCGAGCCAACTCCTGCAGAGCATCCCAGGCCAGCCTCTGCAGAGCGTCGCCAGTCAGCCGTTACAGAGCACGGCCAGCCAGCCGCTGCGGAGCATGGCGCTGCAGAGCGTGGCCGCCCAGCCTCTGCAGCTGCACCCCTCCCCACAGATCCAGCAGCCTCTGACCATCCACGCGCAGGGCATCTCTCCTCAACAGTTCCTGACCACCACCAGCGCCACTTCTGTAGCCCAGCAAATCCAGCAGCTGCCGGTGAGTGAGCTCTGCCTGTGAGGTTGCCCCCCCCAACGGGATTGGTTCTTTTTAGTAACATCACACTCCTTTTATCTGCTCAGGTTCTGCTCCAGCCTCATTTCATCAAGGCGGACTCTCTGGTCTTTACAACAGTGAAGACGGACGGAACGGTGATGTCGGGCGTCAAAACGGTACCGACCACCACAACAATCCAGACCACGCCTCTGCAGATGCCGGTGAGGAGCCGAGACAGAACTGAGTGCATCTAGATTACATATAGGACTGCAGCTATGTTACAGGAAGACTAGGCAGGTTCCAAAGTGAACTCCTAGTGCAGTATATCTGAGGACATGGCCGGGAATGACATACACCTTATAACTGGCAGCCAAAAATCTGAGCCAATTACAGGGGCTGGACATTTAACATTCAACATTTTAGGAAATGAAAAAAACCCCCAAACTTTCCATATCCAGCTGTGGTCGCACAGGAATTTCAAACATTTCCAAAAAAACAATCACATTTGTCTTTCTTCCAACCATGGAAACTATACTTATGTTAGACGTTCATTTGCGAAATGGCTTGCGCAAAGGTTACCCTTTCAATAAAATAGCAAAGCTGTTACACAACTCTATGGTGTGCCCATAGCAAGCACTAAGGACCCAAATACCGGCCAGTGTACATTGAGAATAGGGAGGATGGTGATAGATACAGGGGTAGCCCAACTCCAGCCCTCCAGATGTGGTGGAATTACAAATCCCATGAGGCATTGCAAGATTCTCACAGCCACAAACATGACTCCCGGGGAGAGATGCATCATGGGATTTGTAGTTTCACCACAGCTGGAGGGCCGGAGTTTGGCTACCCCTGGTTTAATACATAGTTGAAACAGATACGTCTTACCTGCCAGAGGATTTGTAATTCTCTTTATCAGGTCTTATACTCCAGGTACTCCCTGTGACCCTGTATATCCCAAACAGTGCCCCCCACTTTTATCCACTGCAGTTAAGCAGTAACATTTGGTCACCAGTCCACCCAAGCCATTAATAGGACAGTGAAGGAGCAGCAGGCTAAACAATGAGGTCATCCATGTGCTCCCTTCTCCTGTAAGCATGGGCTGAATTCTTAGGCAGCATAGAGGAGAGGACAGCCAGACCCTATACCCAGTGGTTGCCACCAATGTTGTGATGCTCAATCTTAATGATTACCCAGGTAGCTACAAAGCTGTTGTCTCTAAAAAGTGTTGTCCACCACTATCTATATAGTGCAGCAGGTGGTTCAATGGGTAAAAAAGATCACCTATTTTTTTTTTTCATGCCCTAGACCTTGATGAGTGGAGGAACCATATTAACCACGCTGATGGTGGACGCCGACAAGCTGCCCATCAGCCGTATAACTCCCAACGGAAAGATGGCTATGTTGAACTGCAAGGGTGAAAAACGAACCGCGCACAACGCCATCGAGAAGCGCTATCGATCCTCCATCAATGACAAGATCATTGAGCTGAAGGACCTTGTGGTGGGAACAGAGGCCAAGGTAAAGCACCAAGGAAGGAACCCTTATATGTTCCCCTTTTTTTTTTTACCTTACCAACACATCTACTTTGCTATTATTGACAAAGGAACCCCCTTGGGTGTAATGGGCAAAGACGGATAGGTAAAGGATGTTGTAGTCATCTTTTTATCCTGACAGAAGGCTCAGAACTTATTGTTCCAAAATAGCGCCCACCCCCATAGTGCTGAGGAGCCACTCCGCTTCTTCATGTGGATGGGGAGCGCTGAAATGTGATGTCCTTGTGGGGTTGTGAAGGACCCCTCTGCCTCCAAACCAAAAAGTCTTCTTGCCTTCATGCTGTCAGACATCTAGAACAATCAAATTGCATGCGTGTTCAGTTGAGTGGCAGCCAACAGTTGGGAAGCTTCCCAGGCCTTGGTAGGGCATTCCATACGTCAGCCTATTGAATTGATCTGCACACACATGTGCAATCTTGATGCCTATGATGTTACCTGAGTAGATGGGCCTGTTTGGTTTTCTGGCAGCGGGGTCCTTGACAGCCAGCCCCACTTTTCTGGTGCACTTTATACGAGAACTGGTGGAGCAACAACCTTAACACCAAGGTTAGGGGCACCTCAAGACAGCAGTTAGACTAGAGAACCTCTTCAAATAATTGAGAGGGTCCTATGACACGTACAGAAACTTGGAACAGACCGCTCTGATTGTTTTTTGCCTTTATATGAAAGAAATTACTTTTTGCTCTTTCCCCACAGCTGAACAAGTCGGGCATTTTGAAGAAAGCCATCGACTATATTCGTTATCTGCAGCAGAATAACATCAAACTTAAGCAAGAGAACATCCTGCTCAAAATGGCTGCCCAGAAAAACAGTAAGGGACTTCTCTTCCGCTGCTCAATTCTCTTTGGTGTGGACATACTTGTGAGCCATAGGCTGTCATCATAGCAGCAGGCACAGTGATGGCACCCTTGTGCTTCAGAGCAGTATGGGGCATCATGATGTCAGTGCCTCCTTGCGTAATGACAGTCATCATTCTCATGCATATCGGCTCAGGATGCAGAATGGCTGCCTTTGGGTGGTTAGGCCAATACACCTGTAGGATATCTGTGCTTTTATGGACACGCTTGGTGAGTGGTACACCTAATTTGGTAGTAAGACTTCCCATGCGCAGGGAGTGCGTGATCCACTGCAACACATTATTTACATGGTTTCCCAATGTCTGTAAAAAATCAGTCAAGGCAACTGGACTTTGTTGCCTTGACTGATTTTTTTTTTTTTACAGATATAGCATGAGCTGGATGAATGAGAACCTTCACAGACATGGTTTCCCACTATATTCCAATATATTAGAGCTTTCCAAACTTTTATAACCCTAAAGTAATTTTCAGGTCTCAGTGAACCCCTGATAAAACCAATTTATTGGGGGTCATTGGGAAAATTGCCCCTTACATTGGTGACCAGTAGAAGAATGCTTCTTACATTGGTGGTCAGTGGGAAGAATGCCCCTTACATTGTTGGTCGGTGTTAAGAATGCCCCTTACATTGGTGACCAGTGGGAAGAATGCCCCTTACATTGGTGACCAGTGGGAAGAATGCCCCTTACATTGGTGGTCAGTGGGAAGAATGCCCTTACATTGGTGGTCAGTGGGAAGAATGTTCCTTACATTGGTGGTCAGTGGGAACAATGCCCCTTTCATTGGTAGTCAGTGGGAAGAATACAACCCTTTTCAGTGGCGGTCAGAATGCCCCCCCTTACAGACAGCTAAAAAGGTCAATGGTGTCATGCTGTTGGCTTTGCCAAGTGGCATTGGCCCTGGAACTATGCGGACACCATCAAATAGGAGATCAATCAGCCACCGCCCAACGAACCCCTAGCAACCTCTGGAGGAACCCATAGACTTCCATGGAACCCTGGTTGAGAATGGCTGTATTAGACAGACATTTGGTGTTTTTCATTATGAGCTGCGTACATAGTAGGCGGGATGATGGGGAGGTGGGGTCTTTTCCAGCCACCTCCCTATACATTTACATTCAGCCAATGATAATCATCAGGAATGATAATTTTTAGCTGTTCTGTCGACCCTTTTGATCCGTTTTCACAGTCTAATCAGATCTTTGCACACAGATGACAAGCAGAAATGGTCCGAAATGTCAAACAAGCATTTGTACAGGTTCAATAAAGCTTAACGGCGATTTATTTCCACCTTGTCTCCTTTTTTTTCCCCCCCTTATTAGGTACTTTGAAAGACATTGTGGCGGGCACCGGGGTTAATATGGAAGCCATGAAAGCAGAGATGATGGATGTCCTCACGCCACCCCCTTCGGACGTGGGATCTCCTTCGCACACTGGCAGTCCGCTATCCCAGTGTTCCAGTGACTCCGAGCCAGACAGCCCCTTCACTGATGAAGCCAAGGTAAGGACTGTAGGGGCACGCCATTTCCTAAAATACACAGTTTTGTTAAAGGGAATCCAATTTTTTGAATTACATAGTTGAACACGATTCTTTTCCTACAGAGATGAAGTCAGATTTGTGAAAACAATATTTTAATGTGTTATAAAAAATAAGTGCCTTGGCTCTTTACTACATCAAAGCATCCAAGTTCACAAACATAACACTTTCTCCCCCTTTCTCCTGCTGTGTACTGAGAGTTCTGTTGGAAACCTCAGCTGCCCAGCCAGTTCACATTTCTTCTTAATAAATCCACCTGCAGATGCCTTCAAACGCAGCGGTTATATCAAAGAAAGCATTCTTAGGATCCCTGTAGATCAGGGGTGAGCAAACTCCGGCCCTCCGGCTGTTGTGGAACTACAAATCCCATGAGGCATGGCAAGATTCTCACAGCCCTGCATGACTTGCAGAGGCAGATGCATGATGGGGATTTCTAGTTTGACCACAGCTGAAGGGCCGATGTTGCCCTGCTGTAGATGAACATGTTCCCTAACCCAAATCTCCTGCAGTAAATGAGCCATTAGCAAGGACATCTGGAAGGTTTCTGGGCTTGTCCTTCCTCCAGGATGTCTATCTATCCTCCTGTTCCTCTTCTTTGCCATCAGCTGTGCAACTGGCGGCCATTACTCTTTACAGGGAAGCGTGAGACTTAAATCTTTAGAATTGCAAGCTGGTAGGTGTAAATCAACCAGGGATAAGGAGCACTTATGCTTGTTTGTGCCGGACTTCCTTTATGGCCGGGGTGTACAAACTTCAGCCCCATAAGGCATTGCAAGAGTCTGGCAGCCACAGGTATGACTCTGAGGCATAGTGGGATTTGTAGTTTCACCACAGCTGGAGTGGCAGAATGTGGCTACCCCTGCTTTATGGCAACACACAGCATAGCAGAAGTTCCTGACTCCTTGACTCGTCCAGCTCCAGCAACTGAGCCAATGGAAGCACTAAGCAAAATACGTTTAGCTCAGGCTAGGCACTCTTTTAAAAGCAATGCCCCCTGGTGCAGTTGGATGAACAATAAGAGGTCTGTAGAAGAATGTATACAATGTGTATGAGAACAACATAAAGAATGGACAGTTGTGGTTTCATTGTTCATTCATGGGGTGAAGAAATGATTCTCCGATCACCAGCAACATCACGACATCAATACATGGTGAGAATCCTCCTTCGGAGCTGTAAACATGCAGAGCACGACCCCACAACTGTCCATTCTTTGTAATGTTCTCATTCACACACATTGTATACATTCTTCTACTGAGCTCCAACATTCCAGCACTCGTAATGATCTGCACTGGCAGCTTGCGAAACAACACAATGTATACAAGTGTGACCAGAAATTCATAGCCACCTGAGCCCATGGAGTCCTCAGCCCATGGACATGTCTCAGACAGTAATGAGTGACCTATTCATCTCCTCTCTGTACCATGAAGCTCGGTGGTGGTGGTGGTGGTGGTGGTGGTGGTGGTGGTGGGGTCCTCTTGGTGAAGCCCCTTTTCCAGCTCCTTTCAGTTCTCCTTTCCTCATGGTACCCCCTCCCCAGATCCCTTTTACATTGTAACCTTCCCCTTCTACCTACTGCCACGTATGGCACCCCAGACCATGGCCACTTAAATGCTCACACCACAGGGAGACACATTGACGATATACACGCTTTGCCCCAATGTAAGAACCCAATATCCTTTGATGGATCCATCCCTATGGTGGAGTGTCCCAGGAGTCATAATCGCCTCAGGCGTCTTGAACGTTCATTCTGATTTAGAGTGATAGTCAATCAATGTTGTATCTGGAAGACCACTGAGAAGTCTACACGTCCGCCTTAACCCTTCACTTGTGTTTTCTGCCCAGGTGCAAGTCAAGCAGGAACTACCGTCTCCCCCCAATTCGGGGATGTTGGACCGCTCTCGCATGGCGCTCTGCGTTTTCGTCTTTCTTTGTCTCTCCTTCAATCCCCTGTCCTTCTTGATGGGTGGTTCCAGGAGCCAAGAGGCCTCTGTCAGCTCTGCGTTTCATGGAAGTGGGAGAAGCATGCTGGAAATGCCTTCCTCTGGTAAGTCGGTACTGATATGGAGGACATAGAATGCCAGGATTACCGTGACTGTGGTCAGGCCTTAGGTATGGCAAGCTCTAAAACTCATCTTTGCAGTTAGTTTGTGCAGGAAGAACTCTGAGGGAGGCCTGGGCTGGTGGTGCACAAATGCCCTACCACCCCATGGTGGTCCTGAGAGGAAACACTCCTCCATCTGACCACAATCAGAGCAGAGCCCGCAGTCAGTGTTATACAACTACAACGTATCTTTTCCTGTTCAGATTGACAATCACAGCACCTGGCCAATAGAAGTCTTCCAGCATCATCATCCTTTAGGGTCCTTTCCTACACCAGTCCTGGTGTGTTATCTGTCAACACAGCCAGGGAACTGCACAGACACCAGGATTTACTTAAATGTGTCATCTCTGAGCCGACATCTCAGCCCAGGAAGTAGATGGTGACCCTGGATGATGCACGAACAAAGATGGTGCCGTCCTTCTATAGAATATAAAAAATCGTGCATGCACATAATGAGAATTTGTGTTCTTCTTCCGCAGAGAGCTCTTCATGGTTCAGCTGGTTTACTCCATCCGCTCTCCTCTGGCCTGTAAACCTGATCATTGTGCTTTGCGTCTCCATCCGCCTCTTCATTTACGGCGAGCCGGTCACGCGGTTACACTCGGAGTCCTCAGTCCAGTTCTGGTGCCACCGCAAGCAAGCCGATGTCGACCTGTCTCGGGTAAAGTTCAACTTGTACTAAAATCTATTTTCTATAATGTCCTGTCGTAGGTTTATGTCAGCCCTGAGATTCCCAATACTTCCGGAGTGTGTGTTACCCATGCTCATGTTTCCCACAATCTATTGCTCTGTTCCTGAGTGGCCTGTAGGTTGGTTAGCAGGCCAATCTGGTGAAACAGCTCAGAGTTCAGGCACAGGTCAGGCATGCATTAGGAAGCAGTATGGTCCCTCTCTCTAGAACTATTTGTAGTCTTAGAAAAGTGAGTCTCAGAGTACAGCAGCTGCTTGAGGGGCTCTTGTAGAAGGAAGGTCTGGCAGCACATGAGAGGAATTAAGCAGAGGTCCTTCTATCCAGGCTTTTTTTTTTCTTATTGTATTTGATATTAAACTTGCACTTGAACTAATTTTGACCCTCTGTGCATCCTGTAAGAGTGTAAAGAGTGACGTTGTTGTCTTCTCATGGCAGGGGGACTTTGCCCAGGCCTCGCTTCACCTCTGGAAAGCCCTGAAAGCTCTGGGACGACCTCTCCCCACGTCTAACTTCGACCTTTGCTGCAGCCTGATGTGGAGCGTCATACGCTACGTCCTGCAACGGCTCTGGGTGGGGCGCTGGTTGGCGGGGAGAGCCGGGGGGTTCCGCAGGGACCATCAGCTGAAGGACGATGTGAGGAAGAGCTGCAGAGAGGCCGCCCTGGTGTACCACCGCCTGCACCAGCTGCACATGACCGGTATGTTGGGGCATCAGATGGCACTACTGCCATAATGTTTTCTTAGCCTTGTATAGGGTGGGGAAGAGTTAGAATCCCTGTCAGGTTTTTATTGCTGTCTATGAACCCTTAAGGGGATTTCTCCTTACTTCCTGTCTCAGGATGTCACCAAGACAGGAAGTGAGGGAAGATCTGCCCAAAGGGGATATAGCAATTATGGCTGGGGGTTGGACTTGAACAACATCAGTGGTGTGCATTGTAACTCATGGAAACTATTCAGAAGTCAGCTTCCTGCACCTTGCTATCGGTTATCAATAAAATATGATTGTGATTGTCTCTTCTGGGTTCATACACAGCTCCGCTCTGTGGTATTAAATACGTGGCTGTGTTTCCCTTACGCAGAGGAGGACCAGCGTGTCAATAACTCTTCTGGTTTCTATTTCTTCTTGTCCAGGGAAGCATGCGGGTGGCCATCTGTCGGCCATCAACATGGCGCTGAGTGCCGTCAACCTGGCAGACTGCGCTGGCAACACCATCTCAGTAGCCACGCTTGCAGAGATCTACGTGGGAGCAGCATTGCGTGTCAAAGCCAGTCTGCACCGGCGCTTCCATTTCCTGGCGGTAAGGGACGCTTCCCTCCGATCCCGCTGTATTTTCCCTGTCCCCTCCCATCCCGCTGTCTCTTCACTGTCCCCTCCCATCCCACTGTCACTTCACTGTCCCCTCCCACCCCGCTGTCACTTCTCTGTCCCCTCCTGTCCCGCTGTATCTTCACTGTCCCCTCCCGTCCCGCTGTATTTTCACTGTCCCCTGCCGTCCCGCTGTCACTTCTCTGTCCCCTCCCATCCTGCTGTCACTTCTCTGTCCCCTCCCGTCCCGCTGTATCTTCACTGTCCCCTCGCATCCTGCTGTCACGGAAGAGGGAGAAGTCAATCTTCACTCACAGATAGGAATAGCTGGGAGAGAGGCTGTATCTTCACTGTCCCCTCCTGTCCGGCTGTATCTTCACTGTCCCCTCCCGTCCCGCTGTCACTTCTCTGTCCCCTTCCTCCCTGCTGTATCTTCACTGTCCCCTCCCATCCCACTGTCACTTCACTGTCCCCTCCCATCCTGCTGTCACTTCTCTGCCCCCTCCCATCCTGCTGTCACTTCTCTGTCCCCTCCCATCCTGTTGTCACTTCTCTGTCCCCTCCCATCCTGTTGTCACTTCTCTGTCCCCTCCCGTCCCGCTGTATCTTCACTGTCCCCTCCCATCCCACTGTCACTTCACTGTCCCCTCACACCCCGCTGTCACTTCTCTGTCCCCTCCCATCCCGCTGTCACTTCACTGTCCCCTTCCTCCCTGCTGTATCTTCACTGTCCTCTCACATCCCACTTCACTGTCCCCCTCCCATCCCACTGCCACTTCTCTGTCCCCTCCCGTCCCGCTGCCACTCATTGTCCCCTCACATCCTGCTGTCATGACACTTTCCCTCTTTTCAATATGGCGAGTGGAAATGTGAATCAGGGACATGGACCCTCCCAGTATGGAGGGACACTGGCATGCAATATATGTATATTATAGACCTTGTCCGCTGTCTGCAGCCCATCCCCCGGCACTGACATTGTACCTCTCTCCTCTCCACAGCGCTTCTTCCTATGCAGCGCCCGCCAGGTTTGCCTGGCACAGAGTGTCACCATACCTCCTGCCATGCAGTGGTTGTGCCATCCTCTGGGCCATCGCTTCTTCGTAGATGGGGACTGGAGTGTGAGGAGCTCCCCCCGGGATACCGTCTACAGTACAGCTGGCAGTGCAGGTACCTCTGATGTCTTTCCCGTCACACTGATTTTAGTTGGCTATGCCAAGCCAACATCCTCACACATGGCTTAATGTATCCGAGTCTCTGAAAGGAGACCCGTGTGAGGTGCCTGTAGCAGCTGATCACGCACTCCATTTTTATTCTTCTATTGCAAGCTGTACAATATAGAAGAGGGCATCTGATTGGTTTATTGAAGGATCTCCTGCCAGACATGACTCCTCCCCAACATGGTCCCATATTGGGCCTGGCACCCACGTCCGGTAGGAACATTGATGTTACCTGGGATGGAAATAATTAAATATACGGTCATGTTTCTTACAACACTTGAATCGTGACTCCAGCCACTTGGATGGAATGGGGAAGAGTTTACATTTCTAGTTTATATTTTGTCTGTGACCCCATCAAAGATATTTTCCTCTCTCCTTGTCATTGTGACACCAGGGCAAGAAATGGGGGGTGAGGTTGTCATTGGGACAGGAAGTCACTGACAGCGATAAGAACATTGTTAGACATTCTAACCCTTTGCTGCCCTACTACTTCCCCAACAAAGTGATTGCCTGTCCTGACATTCCACCCCCTGATTCTTCGAGTGGCATCTTATGATGCTACAGCTGGAGGATGTGGGTAGCACTTCCAAAGCATTGCATATAAGTTGTACAGGAACTTTATATCCGATAAGTGCAGGTCGGCTGCATCAAAAAAGGTGTTTCAAGTCTTACAGTTCATTTTCTTTAGAGTAGTGAAGCCTGTCCCCTGCAGCAGCTGCAGAGACGGCCCCTTGCTCTCTTTGTGGAAGCAGTGGACTCTCTGCAGAGGTCCAATGCACCCCATGGGGTCAGGGCTAGAGCTCTCCAATCAGCAGGGGGTATGCTCTTTGCTGTTTGCTGAGCTATAAGCTCAGAGCTCAGTTGGGCTTTATGGCTTGCTGTTAGGTGTGCACCGTCCTGCTGACTTTTATTTTCAACGGACTTCCCTTCATTGTATACCATGTTACATGAACAGATGCCATTTTGTACACAGCACATTCTATCTCAGGGTTGGGCAACTGCTGCCCTCCAGCTGTTGTGGAACTACAAATCCCATGAGACATTGCAAGACTCTGACAGCCACAGACATGACTCCTAGAGCCAAATGCATGATGGGATTTGTAGTTAAAGCACAGCTGGAGGGCCGGAGTTGCCCACCGCGTTCTAGCTATAGACACTGCAATACACAGTAGGGTTATCTATGCCTAGCACTGACTGATTTTGTGTTTGTGCACAGTGGACCCTCTGGCTCAGGTGACTCAGGCGTTCCGTGAACACCTCTTGGAAAAGGCTCTGTATTGCGTGGCACAGCCGGAACAGGGAAAACCCATGACGGACGGCGAGGGGTGAGTCTTCTTGTTTATCTGGTAAAAGTACCATCATTATTGTTTCATTTTACTTTCTTAAAGTGTATGTCCAGCCAAAAGCTTTTTTTTGTTCTTTTGGATTGAGTAGGAAAGGGTTAAATCCCTATCAGGATATTTTTTTAGCTGTCTGTGTCCTGCAAAAAGATTTGACTTCCTGCCTTGGAGACACAACAGGAAGAAGGAGGAAACCTTCCCCAAAGTGAGCGGAATTTACTCTTAGTTGTCACCAGGTTATTCATCCCCATGGACAGAGAGGAGTGAATCTCCATTCATCCCTATTGGCAGTGAACGGTGAATCTCTACAATGGGGACACAGACAGCAATAAAAACTTAGCCGGGAGGGTTTAACGAATCCAATCATGCATCTGCCTCTGAGAGTCATGCCTGTGGCTGTCATAGTCTTGCAATGCCTCATGGGACTTGTAGTTGCACCACAGCTGGAGGGCTGCAGTTTGCCCACCCCTGCGGAGTCCTTGTTAAAGTAGGAGATTGAGTAACTCTCTTTTTCTCTGCAGGGAGTTCTCTGACGCTCTGGAGTATTTGCAGCTGCTGAACGGGTGCTCCGATAACGCCGCTGTGCCCAACCACACCTTTTCCATCAGCTCCAGTATGACCGCCGTCACAGGTGACTGCCAACCTCTGCCAATCCCATCCTAGATGTGAATCCTCTTGGCCTATACAATGATTTGCCCTCCTGTACCCTTTTCTTGGTATATGGGGCAGAGACATCACTTCCTGCTTCTTTGTGTCATGTGACCACCGCTTGTTTCTTTATCCAGGAACCGACCCCGTGGCCAAGTGGTGGGCATCTATCATCATCGTGGCTATCAACTGGCTTCAAGGAGATGATGAAGCGGCTCAGCGGCTCTATCCAGTGGTAGAATACATGCCGAAATCTCTTCATGCCACAGAGTGAGTGAGAGGATTGTGGGTAATGGGTCTAGCTTGGCTCGACGGTGATAATTTGCATGCCTTGGGCATGTACCCTATATATTTCACCTTCCCTTTTATTATGAGTGAGCGCAGTATTATTGTTTCATTTGATATCGCTTTCCTGGTACAGCAGCCATGCAGGATATGTTAATATGGCTTTGCATTCCACCAGAGTTAGACCCAGTGCATTCAGTAATCAGCACTTAATAACAGACCTGGTCAGACATGCCCCTTCCCTTCTATGCAGAACATTTGTAAGGGGCGTGGCTGTTACTGTGCTGTGCCAGCACAGAGCACTGCAAGGTGAGAAATGAAGAAAGCTGCAGTTTTATCAGGACTATAAAGAGATACAAAGATGTGAGACTTCATTTGGGCTTTATGAAGTTGCTATAACAATCATTTTTCTCCCCAGGAACCCTCTGCCTAAAGCCGCCCTGTACGCCTTCAAAGCAGTACGGATGCTCCTGGGGAAACAGGACAGCACTCAGGTCAGCCTGAGTCAATGCGACAAGGCCAGCGGATACTTGCGAGACAGCCTGACCTCCGGTCCTTCTAGTAACATCAGCGTGGACAAGGTGAGGAGAGCCGTGGGGACAAATTGGGCTGCTCTTGTTTTGTGTCCAGCCCCCCCCCTCTCAGCAGACTGCACCTGACGCTACTGTGGCTGTGGTGCATTGTAGTTGCATTGCATTTTTTATTCCCTGTGTGCAATGTGCCTGCAGTGCAATACAGAGGCAGCACCTAACCTGCGACATCTGACCCTTGGATGAGGACGTTTATCGCTCAGGTAAGCGCTGAATAGCGGAAACAAGATGATGAGAGAGAAATGCAGAATAATCTATGTGCAATGCGAGTGTGAGTGATCTGTGCCTTCTGTATTAGAGGAACGGAAAATGTATTTGGTACATATACCTGAAGATTTCATACCATATATTTGGGATACCTATGAGACAGCCTGACATCCCCCGACCTCCCTTTCTATAGTGGTGTGGGGAAGGTTAACACCCATTGTCTGTATCCCATGGGGGTTATTTCCCCTAAGTTCCTGAGGAGACACAACAGGAAGTGAGACGCAATAAAAACCAGACAGAAGTTCTAACCTTTCCACGCTCTATCAAACACTATAGAGAGGAGAATGGGTCTTTGGGTGAGGGCAATGACAATGGTGCATGGGTGTTGAAGCCCCAGTTATTTGGAGGAAGGTAGCGATGGAACAACCATGCACAGGACTTGAAGCCCAGGTCTATGGGGAAAGGTGGTGGTGGGACAAGTGTGCACAGGCCTTGAACGCCAGGTCTATGGGGAAAGGTGGTGGTGGGACAAGTGTGCACAAGCCCTGAACGCTAGGTCTATGGGGAAAGGTGGTGGTGAGACAAGTGTGCACAGGACTTGAAGCCCAGGTCTTTGGGGAAAGGTGGTGGTGGGACAAGTGTGCACAGGCCCTGAACGCCAGGTCTATGGGGAAAGGGGGTGGGGGGACAAGTGTGCACAGGCCCTGAACGCCAGGTCTATGGGGAAAGGGGGTGGGGGGACAAGTGTGCACAGGCCCTGAACGCCAGGTCTATGGGGAAAGGGGGTGGGGGGACAAGTGTGCACAGGCCCTGAACGCCAGGTCTATGGGGAAAGGGGGTGGGGGGACAAGTGTGCACAGGCCCTGAACGCCAGGTCTATGGGGAAAGGGGGTGGGGGGACAAGTGTGCACAGGCCCTGAACGCCAGGTCTATGGGGAAAGGGGGTGGGGGGACAAGTGTGCACAGGCCCTGAACGCCAGGTCTATGGGGAAAGGGGGTGGGGGGACAAGTGTGCACAGGCCCTGAACGCCAGGTCTATGGGGAAAGGGGGTGGGGGGACAAGTGTGCACAGGCCCTGAACGCCAGGTCTATGGGGAAAGGGGGTGGGGGGACAAGTGTGCACAGGCCCTGAACGCCAGGTCTATGGGGAAAGGGGGTGGGGGGACAAGTGTGCACAGGCCCTGAACGCCAGGTCTATGGGGAAAGGGGGTGGGGGGACAAGTGTGCACAGGCCCTGAACGCCAGGTCTATGGGGAAAGGGGGTGGGGGGACAAGTGTGCACAGGCCCTGAACGCCAGGTCTATGGGGAAAGGGGGTGGGGGGACAAGTGTGCACAGGCCCTGAACGCCAGGTCTATGGGGAAAGGGGGTGGGGGGACAAGTGTGCACAGGCCCTGAACGCCAGGTCTATGGGGAAAGGGGGTGGGGGGACAAGTGTGCACAGGCCCTGAACGCCAGGTCTATGGGGAAAGGGGGTGGGGGGACAAGTGTGCACAGGCCCTGAACGCCAGGTCTATGGGGAAAGGGGGTGGGGGGACAAGTGTGCACAGGCCCTGAACGCCAGGTCTATGGGGAAAGGGGGTGGGGGGACAAGTGTGCACAGGCCCTGAACGCCAGGTCTATGGGGAAAGGGGGTGGGGGGACAAGTGTGCACAGGCCCTGAACGCCAGGTCTATGGGGAAAGGGGGTGGGGGGACAAGTGTGCACAGGCCCTGAACGCCAGGTCTATGGGGAAAGGGGGTGGGGGGACAAGTGTGCACAGGCCCTGAACGCCAGGTCTATGGGGAAAGGGGGTGGGGGGACAAGTGTGCACAGGCCCTGAACGCCAGGTCTATGGGGAAAGGGGGTGGGGGGACAAGTGTGCACAGGCCCTGAACGCCAGGTCTATGGGGAAAGGGGGTGGGGGGACAAGTGTGCACAGGCCCTGAACGCCAGGTCTATGGGGAAAGGTGGTGGTGGGACAAGTGTGCACAGGCCCAGAACGCTAGGCCTATGGGGAAAGGTGGTGGTGGGACAAGTGTGCACAGGCCCTGAATGCCAGGTCTATGGGGAAAGGTGGTGGTGGGACAAGTGTGCACAGGCCCTGAACGCCAGGTCTATGGGGAAATGTGGTGGGGGAACAAGTGTGTAAAGTCTTTAAAGCCCAGGTCTTCAGGATTTGAAGACCAGGTCTTTGGGGAAGAGCAGCATTTTTACACGCATGTCCTGGCTTTGAAGTCCAGTCTTTGTGGTAAGGCAGCAGTGGGTCAGCATGCACAGGCCCTGAAGCCCGGGTCTTTGGGGTAAGGCAGCAGTGGGGACAACCTTGAACTCCAGGTCTTTGGGGAAAGGGGGTGGTGGGACAAATGTGTAAAGACTTCAAAGCCCAGATCTTCTGGAGAAGGTAGCAGTGGGACAAGTGTGCACAGACCCTGAAGCCCAGGTCTTTGGGGGAGTGCAGCAGCTCCTTCAGGGACTATTGTGACGTGTTCGGTATTCTATGTGAAATTCGGTGAAGTGTAGAATTTGCGTGTTCTAAATGAAACCGAAAAAGAACTTGTTCTATAACATGAGCTGTAGTGTAGTAAGATGTCATTCCTGTAACCTAGCTCACTGCTGCCCTCTGGCGGCCATTCTGGTCATCTCCTCAGTATTCTAGGATCGGCTGTTCGGAAGGTTTGCAGCAATTTCTTGGCCTTGACTTTATTACACCCTGACACATAAAATGAACTCGCTTACGTTTTCATTTGATGATTACAGCCAATTAGGTCTCAATGAAACAAAGCAGCTGAATGTTTGTCGCAGGCAACGGTGTTACCTGCATAACAATGTCTATAAATCATACTGCCGTGTTCTAATCACCAGACGCCGGTGTTGCAATCAGCAGCTCCTCGGGATATGGCTCGCCGTACAAAATGGCCGCCAGAGCTGTCACCGGGCAACAGATGTGATAATGATATATTGACGTAGTTGCTCACTGGGGAGAGATAATAGGAATATTGATTAGGATTCGGGGCATACATGATACGTTTTAGCTGTGCGCAGCCATTACGGCGGTGTAATTAATACAGCCAGCCTTGTCATTGGCGCTGGCTGGCTCCCCACCTGCCACCTCTGAATAATGGTCTCTCTGTCTCCCGCAGGCAGTGCAGCTCCTAATGTGTGACCTTCTCCTGGTGACCAGAACGAACATCTGGCAGCAGCAACAGCAGAACCCGACGGGGCAGCAGCAGAGCCTCGTCCACCAGGCGTCCCCCCAGGAGCTCCGAGGCTTCCAACTGGATCTGAGCAGCCTGCGTCGACTTGCACAATCCTTCCGACCCGCCATGCGCAGGGTGAGCCAACGTGATTGCTTCCTTCATTGTAAAAATAAAAAGATGTTGTAATTGAGTTTGATAGTTTGCCAATTTAAGGCACTGTGACAGGTCCTCTTGACAGCCCCCTTCTGGTGCTCACTGCACTTCCATTTGTCTTTAGAAAAGTATGTGACCTTCACCCCTTCCTCCCAGAATGCATTGCATGTGCCCAAAGAGCCAATTGCCAGGCCCACCTGAGATTATACTCGGGCTCAGACGACAGAGGGCATAAGGATGGCGAGGATCAATGGGTGGCCTGCCAAGAGAACCTGTCACTTTGTTCTGTATGGGCTGAAGCTTGATAAAAGCCCTAAAAAACACTTATCATATCATGTGTCAATCACAGGTCTTCCTACATGAAGCCACGGCTCGTCTCATGGCGGGGGCCAGCCCAACCCGAACACATCAGTTGCTGGACCGGAGCCTGCGCAGGAGGGTACCTCCGTCTAGTAATGAAGGTGGGTGGCCTATAAACCAACTTATAGCTTGTGTTCTGCGTCCCAGTGCCGCCATGATGGTTGCCTGTACAGATTTGTCTCCACACCTTATAACGGAGCTGCCAGCAGACGCCTCCTGGTGATTGGCCCCTAAGGGGCCACAATTCTGAAACAACCCAACAACAAAACTTCATCCTAGAGGGATAATGAAGAGGACCTGTTAGCATGTGCAGAGAGTTGTATTAGAGTACATTATATATCTGCACTCATATAAACCCTTCATGTCCTCACTACATGGATTAGCTCACAGGAACAGTTGGGGAGGGTGCTCATCCTTCATGTCTGTGTGCCATTTGATTGGTTCTTTAAAGACTAGATAATGAATGGGGCTGAACATATCCCAGGAGCAAGTGTGGCAGTGCACAGGGAAGGTGGGAACCCCTCATAATGGGCACAGGTGTACAGACCCGGGAACTCAGCTCAGGGATGGTGGGACCCCTCATAATGGGCACAGCAGGTGTACAGACCTGGGAACTCGGCACAGGGATGGTGGGAGCCCCTCATAATGGGCACAGCAGGTGTACAGACTCGGGAACTCAGCACAGGGATGGTGGGAGCTCCTCATAATGGGTACAGCAGGTGTGCAGACCCGGGAACTCAGCACAGGGATGGTGGGAACCCCTCATAATGGGCACAGCGGGTGTGCAGACCCGGGAACTCGGCTCAGGAATGGTGGGAACCCCTCATAATGGGCACAGCGGGTGTACAGACCCGGGAACTCGGCTCAGGGATGGTGGGAACCCCTCATAATGGGCACAGCGGGTGTGCAGACCCGGGAACTCGGCTCAGGAATGGTGGGAACCCCTCATAATGGGCACAGCGGGTGTACAGACCCGGGAACTCGGCTCAGGGATGGTGGGAACCCCTCATAATGGGCACAGCGGGTGTACAGACCCGGGAACTAAGTTCAGGGATGGTGGGAGATCCTCATAATTGGCACAGCAGGTGTACAGACCCAGGAACTCAGCCCAGGGATACTGGGAACCCCTCATAATGGGCACAGCAGGTGAACAGACTTCATCTCACCAACAGAGTCCCTGAAATATAGAAGAAATTCCCTCTCACTAGTCATTGTGCTTATTGCTGCACATTTCAAATCTTTGGCTTTGTAACTAGGAGCGCAGTCCTGTAATATGGCCTCCAAAATACAGAAGGACCAGGATGTAGTTCTGTCGCAGACCTTCACTGTCATATAATCCAAGCTGTCAATGCCTTCTATGACACAGCAATATGAATGCAGACCTGTACGTGATTAGAATGTAATTGTATGATATCCTTTCAATTTACCAAAACTGATGCCGTGTGAGGGCCGCCTGGTTATATATATATATATATATATAACACTAAATGGAATGTTTTGGTAGGCCTGAGCACTCCCTAGCTGGTGAATCTAAAGGAGGTTGTGCCATTAGATTGGAACTGGTGTGACCGGCTTTAAAGCCTCATCGAAGTAGCAAAAATACATCTGCAGTCAGACTACCAACCTACTAACTACCTCCATTGCTTTATGCTTACCTACTCTTTCCTGTTACAGCAGTAGTGCATGGTGTCTAAATAGGACTGTGTAGTCCAGTAGGTACCAGAGCTAGACCCAGCGCTCTCAGCAATCAATAACAGACCTAGTCAGACACGCCCCCCCCTCCTCCTCTCAATAGAGGACACTTATAATTAGAGGTGTGGCTGTTGCTCAGCTATGCCAGTACAGAGCACTGCAGTGTGAGGACTGGAGGCAGCATTTTTACTGAAAGAAAATTGTATTTTAAGGCATTTTTAAGCAAAAAACGGTCACAAATCCTAACCTACGGGACCACAGGACTATAGAGAGTTCAACGTTATATGACGTCATTGGGCTTTAAATGGCTTTTTCAGGTAAACTATCTGTGTAGTAACCTGGTGATGGCGCCTCTGCGTTTTCTAGGGTTGCAGCAGTTGTGGTAGTTCAGCTGCAGTGCCCCCTGCTGGTAAAATTTTGGTATTTCAGCACAACCCATATTTGTGCTCTGCAAACAGCAGCAGGCTGGGGAGGATGGTGTGGGAGGGGGGCAGTGACACTACAAGTCCCATGGGGCATTGCAAGACTGACAGGCATGAGTCCAGAGGCAGAAGCATGGTGGGAGCACAGCTGGAGTGCTGAGGTTGCCTACCCCTGCTATAAACATTTCTAGGGCCAAGGGCAGAGATGCTCGGGAGCTTGTTTCATAAAAGTCTATAAGGATCTACTGCACAGACATGGCCAGAGTTGTAGTTGCACCACCGCTGGAGTGCCAAGGTTGCCTACTCCTTGTTTAGTCCCTCAAGCTGTTGGCAGGACAAGCAGGGTTGCAGCAGGCGGCATATATATCTAGTTACCCATATGCATGTTTGTTGTAGACTGATAATGGGCTGTTTGTTGGTGTTGGCGTAGGGTATAGGGCAGTAGGCTTTGGCATGGCACGGTAGGAGAATGATTGGATGTCTGAGCAGTCCATACTGAAGCTGCCTCTCTTTTATTCGCAGATATAGCACGGCTGGTCAGTTGCAGCGTGACACTTCCGACCCTGCCCTGTCAATAATCATCACTGGCGATTTAAAGAGAGACCGCCTCTCCCCCTTTTGTTCTTGACACTGCATCTGCTGTCACCCCCAAACAAACCCCCTGCAACCAGCCCCCTTATCTCGGTGCAGACAATCCTCCCACAGTCTATGGGAGCAGCGACAGAGGTCTGCCCCCCGTGCCACAAGTTAACAGGGGCCATCTCAGGAAAAACAAAAAACGCACTTCACTCGTCTATATTTGTACCATCAGAGAAGATGTAACTGCGTTTTATCATTGACGCAAGTCAGCACAGTAAGGAGACCCGTTCTCAGGAATGTAGGGGGGGGGAGGGAGAGAGTCCTGTTGTCTTCTATGAACACGTATGTCCTCCCGCTGGACTAGAATAAAAGGCTTTTGCTGTCAGACCACGGAGGCGTGCTACGCAGAGGACATGGCACCATGCTGCGGGATAATTGCAGCTATTCATAGACATGTTAGAATTGCAATGACTGTATTTTGTGTTGCAGAGCCCCCAATGTCGGGCAAGCGTTGGACTCTTGTTAGGCGATGCTTGGCTCTATGTCACATGCTGCTCCTGTTCCCGGTGGAACATACACGAGAGCTTGTAAATATGTCAGCGTCTGTTCTTTCTATTAAATCATTTGTAATATATGGACCGACTGCAGCCGCCTGTCTCTGTTGTTTCTTTTCTGAGTTTGTAGCTCAAGGAGCGAATTTGCCTGAAAGGAGGTCTGGCCGGGTTACCTGGGGCCACTTCTTGCACCCAGATTCTCTCTGGGACGGGTTTCAGAATGGAAGGAATAAAACGATTGGTTGACATTACATACACCGGGGTCCAATGTGTCGCAGTGATGAGATGGCTTCCTTGTGAGCTGGCTTGGCATGGCGGGCCTGTACAACATGGCCGCCTCCAATCATTCAGTAGCGGCTCAGCAGTAACTTAAGGCTGCGGCAGCTTATGTGAACCAAATCCAGATCCATGGTGATGTCACTTAATCACAGAGCCGTGTCCATCAAATATAAAAGTGTCACCTATAGCAGCAAGCCGGCTTGTTTCTGAGTTTTATAACTTGCACTGACAACATGGAAAGTTTGATGCTTTAGCTGTCAGAGCCAGGGGATCGGTGCTGGTAGAATTTGGCCTAGAGGACCTCGTGCACTAACACTCACTGTAGCACTACTCCTTCCTGTAACCCCAACACTACTCCTTCCTGTAACCCCAACACTACTCCTTCCTGTAACCCCAACACTACTCCTTCCTGTAACCCCAACACTACTCCTTCCTGTAACCCCAACACTACTCCTTCCTGTAACCCCAACACTACTCCTTCCTGTAACCCCAACACTACTCCTTCCTGTAACCCCAACACTACTCCTTCCTGTGACCCTGACACTAACCCTCCCTGTGACCCTGACACTAACCCTCCCTGTGACCCCGACACTAGCCCTCCCTGTGACCCCGACACTAGCCCTCCCTGTATCCCCAACACTAGCCCTTCCTGTATCCCCAACACTAGCCCTGCCAGTATCCCTACTGCTAACCCTACCACTAACCTTCCCTAATGTAACTTAACCCTTGTTTGCATACTCCACTCTCCTGCGCCGGGATCCTCTGCTGAAGACTAACCTTCCTCTGTCCAAGGATACCAGTGTCGGGATCCCACCAATGGAATCTACTGGTTTTATGAACAGCCGGTTTGCTATGTGAACATATACGGCACTTACAGACAGGTCAGTTTGTAGAACGGGGACATTTAAAAAAAATGTTCATCTTCTATTGATTGTCTCATTGAAGGAAATCTGCAATATCTGTCACAGTAACCCAGAACTGGACTTGTAACGTTTCTCTATGGTACAGTATTTCATTTCTCTGCACCGTCCTCTGGTTCTTAACACGACTCCCTTTACCGAGCTGTAGAAATGCCGGCAGCGCACATCAGATCTGTAAACTGCGATCAGATACGAGCAGAACATTCTATACGTGTTCTATAACTCTGTCCCGGACACCAGGGAGGGCAACATATGAAGAGATTAAACTTCAGCTTTGCAGCAATAAACTAGAGAAATGCCCATTCCTGGGTTACTTGTGAGGATGTGAACTGTCCCCCAGCAATCGTCCAAAACGAATCCTTTCACAGCCAGTGGATGATGATATCTGGTTTATATGGGAACTAAACCCTCTTTTAGGTTACGCCTTATAACTTCTAAACTCTTCATAATCCTAAATATACACGTGGGCTGGTATTAGAGAATGGTTTTCCTATTGGGCATCAATCCTATTTCCACAGTAGAACTGTCATTGTCCAGTGGAACTTCCAGTGTGACCGGCCGTTATCGAACAAAACACTTACACCCTGATTGGTGACACCCTGATCAGCGATACCCTGATAAGTGACACTCAGATCAGTGCCACCCCGATAAATGACATCCTGATCAGTGCCACTGGGTATGTGACTCCCAGATAAATGGCACCCTGATATATGCCATCCTGATCAGTGCCACTGGGTATGTGACTCCCAGATAAATGGCACCCTGATCACTGACTCCCTGCAAAGTAACTCCCTGATAAGTGACACTCAGATCAGTGCCACCCTGATATATGCCTTCCTGATCAGTGACCACCCTTTTGGCTTTGCGGCTTCCATGATGGACCCCATTGAGGTGCCCAAACAGCAGCTTGTGGCCTAAACCTGGCCAGACAAGTTACAATCTATTTGCTTTCAGCCGGCCATATGACAAGCTGATCGTACAATTTACCAAAACTATGTAATATGAAGACAAACCTAAAGAATCCATTTAAAGTGGAAGTCAGCCGCCACCTGCCACAGAAAAAACAAACCTCAGCACCCTTTAACATATTTCAGCTAACACTCCAAATATCTGTATTAGTGCCCCTACTTTGTGTGCTGCTCTCCCCCTCTCTTGTTGAAGCCAACACCATCTGTACTCCTGCTCCCGACCTCCATGGACAGCATAGAAAAGTCCCACACCTGTGCAGACCAATCAGGAGCTTCTCTTTTATTTGAAGGTTCATACACAGCAGTAATAGAGAATTCCAAACTCCGTAACGTCGCTAGAGAGATACAAGGCGGCATCATCCCGGCAGGGTGCGATGGCACAGCCATGATGCCGTGAATGTGTTAGGAGGTGAGCATGCGCATGTGCCATCAGCTAAAGAAAACCCTCAATAACATAGATCAGGGGTAGTCAACCGTGGCCCCTCCAGCGGTGGTGAAACTGCAAGTCCCATAAGGCATTGCAAGACTTTGAAAGCCACAGGTATAGCTCCCAGCAGCAGATGCATCATGGGATTTGTAGTTTCACCACAGCTGGAGGGCCGAGGTTGCCTACCCATTATATAGTGCATGGCTAGCTTTGGTTTTACCAACAACTATGTAGTGCAAATACCTAACTAAAGTCCATTTAATGTATACCTAATCAGTTTGGCTCTTGTATTTTTACATAGTTATTGGTGAATCTAAAGGACTCTAGACCGGCACAATGGTGTTGGCTGGTTGGACATCATTCTTCCTCTAGATGCTTTGATAAATTAGGCTGAATGTTCTGACTGTGATCTTGGAGCAAATTGGTGACTTGTTAGCCTCTGTGTTCCCAGCAGGCACCCGAGAAGCCTCGCCGACCACGCGGGAGCATGCCGAAGCCCTCCTCCTGGCGTGCCGCTACCTGCCTCCGTCGTTCCTGTCCGCCCCAGGGCAAAGGGTGGGCATGCTGGCCGAAGCTGCCCGGACTCTAGAGAAGCTCGGCGACAAACGCACCCTGCAGGACTGTCAGCAGTTCATCCTGACGCTGGGCAGCAGCACGGCTGTGACCTCCAGCTAGGAAGACGTCACCTCCCGCACGTCCAGTGATCCCTGGATAACTTCTCTTCAGTATTCACCTCTACAGAGTGCGCACAAATCAAAAAAGAAATGAGAGGCGGCCACGTTTCAATGGCTGCACGTTATTCCGCAGACAGCATTGCAAAGTGTGCCCGTCGACTAGACATGTCTGGGCCGCATCTGCACCATAATCACAAATAGCACAGCTTCAATCTACCATTATGCATAGAGAATATTCTTACGTGATTTGCCTGCCCGTTGCTATGTAAGGGGAAGGAAAGTTCCAAAATGACTGTTTATGTGAAAGGGGCCTTACAATCAGACTCGTGTGTGAGGATGCGGCTCTGGGCGCCATATTGGACAATGGAGGAATCTGGTTAGCAGTTGGTCACATTCAACTTGACTTGTTCTGTAGAGTTGAAGAAGTTTCATAGCTTTTCCAAGAACTCCCAAGCCAGACCAAGGCTAATCCAAGCCAGACCAAGGCTAATCCAAGCCACTCTCAAGTCAGACCAAGGCTAATCCAAGCCAGACCAAGGCTAATATAAGCAACTCCCAAGCCAGACCAAGGCTAATCCAAGCCAGACCAAGGCTAATCCAAGCCACTCCCAAGCCAAACTAAGGCTAATCCAAGCCAAACCAAGGCTAATCCAAGCCACTCCCAAGCCAAACCAAGGCTAATCCAAGCCACTTTTGAACCAATCCAAGCCACTTCAAAGACGAATCCAAGCCACTTCCCAGCCAATTCCAAGCCAATCCAAAATTAATCAATGTCATTTACAAGCCAATCAAAGGCTAATCAAAAGCCACTTTCAAGCCAATGCAAAGCTACTCCAAGCCAATTCAAAGCAAATCCAAGCCAATTCAAAGCTACTCCAAGCCACTTCCAAGCTAATCCAAGCCAATGTTCTAATAGGTGTCAGGAACATAGCTCAGCATTTATAGCCACACAGAAGGATCTCTAACAAACATGGCCTCCCTGTGTCCTTCAAGCCCAGCAATACACGGAGACAAAAGTTTGTACATTCTAAACACAAGCCAAGTAACGCGACATATACATTGCAGCGTAGTGAGGAATGCAAACACCTTTACATGGAGGAGACAGAACAAATTCCCAACAAATGGATGGCCCAACATAGCAGGACAAATTCTACAGGTCCAGACATTCTGTTCAGGACAGTGAGGTGCACATTTTGGATGGAGAGGACAATTGGTTCACAAGAGGCATAAAAAAGACCCTCTACTTCAAACTGGAACAGCTATCCCAGAACAAGGGCGGGGCCTTCAATACCATCCATCTTCCTTGTATAATGCCATTTTAAGATCTCTGACCCAGTGATTTGACAGCAATTCACACCTTCACCCATGTGACCTGAGGAATTAACACACGTGCAGACTTCCTGACACAAATGATGGGATTTTGTCATTAGAACAGGGCGGTTCTACAACTTTCACACGTCCCATCTTGTTCAGCATCTACCTTGGTGACTGAATGAAGGTGTTGGGGTGACTTGTGTGGACATAAATGCTGAGGTATCTTCTGGGCCCTCATTAGAACTGAGCAAGTGGCTTGGAGAAGCTCGGAAACGTCTTCAACATTACAGAACAAGTCCAGCAGACGTGACCAACTACTAGCTCTACCATGACCTGGATACATGAGAACCGGCATAGATATAGGAGGACACGTTTCTCATCAGGTCTACCTGATAGATGAGGCCTAGTGGTGCAGACCATTGTAGGCCCCGAGGGTACGAGGGAATAAATTAAATGGCACAAGACGTATCGACAGAATCTACAAAATCAAGGTGGGTGAGATTGAAAGAACAGTGGTGGGAATCTGTGACATATTCTTGATGAAAGGTGCCATTGTCTGCTTCCAGGGCCATACACTAGTCTCTGTGCAGCTGAATTTGTCCATTGAACACTGTCACTTGCCCAGTGGTGGTTGCTGAGATTAGTATTTAGCATTGTGACAGGTTCTCTTTTCTTACACAACAAAGCAATGTGTAGGGGGCAGAACCAGCACCGGTCCTCTGAATATCCATACATCCGGGTGTGACTCCCAAAATGGCTGCATGCATGGGGTGCACATGAGGAACAGAACCAGCACTGTGTCCTTTTCTAGCTCTCCTCCTGGTAATAAGAACTGAAGTCAGACTTTCACCTCTTTGTATTGGAGGAAACCGGTCATTTCATCCCCCTTTCCATGCTAAGTGCCTTCCGGTCCCTATAGTTATCTGTACAATGAATGTCTTCTGTGGTCTGTACACATCCTAGACCTTCCAGGTATGGGGCTGGGGGGGGTAGCAGACATTGGTGTGGAGGAGGCATATGTAAGTATAGAGAGTGCCCAACTCAGGGTGGGGGATTTGGCTTTCTCAAAGTGGCAAGTGTACTTTAAAGAGACCCTGTCACCTTGCCTATTCATGACAAAGCGATAAGGTTTCTTTAGAGCCTAAACTGACCCTCACTGCACGGCTGCCACATACTATCTGGTGTTTCCAGGTATGGGGGCTCATGTGACCCTTCTTCCCATGATGCAGTGCTCAGGTCTAGCAGCCATTTACAAGGTCTGAAGATGGTTGCGTTAAGGAGGGGGTGATGTCATTGCTACCTATAAGATCTGATACCAGATATTTTGTGGTGGACCTGATGGGAAAGGATGGCTGGAAGAGCTGTGAAGTATAACTGACTCTAAGGGTGGCCTGTAAAGAGACTCTGTGGCTTTCCCTGGAAAGGAAGGGAGACCGGGACTCTTTATAGGCCAAACCCTTCTACTACTGAATCAGTTTCGGGTAAAATATGGATTGACCCATCTATGGGCTTCTTCTAGAGGTGCCATTTGCTAGATATCGTTGCTGTAATTTGTGTGAACCTCAGGACCAGGACCGCCATATGGGTGGTCATTGTACTGCTGCCGTCCATGGCGCATTTAGGAAGCCAGAAGCAAGTCAACCCGAGATTATCCAACCGCAGAGGGATTAATATGCCAATGCAGCCCATATGAATTTCTTGACTCTTACAGGGTTGACAACGGTTCTTCATCAACTAACCCCCCCAAATTCTGGTACAGCATACAAAATTTCAGTAGCAAATGAGACATCAGGATAGTCGTCACCTGACCCCCCAATGTTCTAGGCTGGAACAAACAAAAACTGTCCGGCGGTCATGTCCCTGTTGGGTTTTGTTGTCTCTACTTTCCAGGTTCAGTCGAAGGTAACCTCATATCCAGAGTCGCGGTGCCATGCCAGGAGGGCCCCGTGTAAGACGGGGAGGGGCCCCTGATTGTATTGCTTCGTTCCAGATCTTATTTTCTTAGTGTTTTTTGTACAGAGGATTTATTAAGATATTTATCATTTTCTTATACAAAGAAAAAAATAATAAAATAAAGTAGTTTTTTTGCTTTCCAAACCGGCTCTGTTCTTTGTATCAAACGTAAAGCTGTAGTAACAGTCAGGTCGGGGTGAGCTGACAACCGTACCCCACCTGGAGAAAATGCTGCTCCAGGCTCCCTTTAGTGCCAAGTCCTTGGTCACATGATCCCTGCTGAAGAGGACGATCAGAGTTCAGATTGGCTGATCCATGCTTTCAGCAGAAATCATGGGAACCAAACTCCGGCCCTCTGGCTGCTGTGGAACTTTATGTCCCATCAGACATTGCAAGACTCTGACAGCCACAGGCATGACTTCCAGAGGCAGATGCATGATGGGAGTTGACAGCCCAGGCATGACTTCCAGAGGCAGATGCATGATGGGAGTTGACAGCCCAGGCATGACTTCCAGAGGCAGATGCATGATGGGAGTTGACAGCCCAGGCATGACTTCCAGAGGCAGATGCATGATGGGAGTTGACAGCCCAGGCATGACTTCCAGAGGCAGATGCATGATGGGAGTTGACAGCCCAGGCATGACTTCCAGAGGCAGATGCATGATGGGAGTTGACAGCCCAGGCATGACTTCCAGAGGCAGATGCATGATGGGAGTTGACAGCCCAGGCATGACTTCCAGAGGCAGATGCATGATGGGAGTTGACAGCCCAGGCATGACTTCCAGAGGCAGATGCATGATGGGAGTTGACAGCCCAGGCATGACTTCCAGAGGCAGATGCATGATGGGAGTTGACAGCCCAGGCATGACTTCCAGAGGCAGATGCATGATGGGAGTTGACAGCCCAGGCATGACTTCCAGAGGCAGATGCATGATGGGAGTTGACAGCCCAGGCATGACTTCCAGAGGCAGATGCATGATGGGAGTTGACAGCCCAGGCATGACTTCCAGAGGCAGATGCATGATGGGAGTTGACAGCCACAGGCATGACTTCCAGAGGCAGATGCATGATGGGAGTTGTAGCTATATCACAGCTGGAGGGATGACGTTTGGCTTACCCCTGGCCTAGTATGGAGACCCTCCGCCTCTCAGTCATGGACCAGTCCGCTGACACACAGACATACTGAGGAGCATGAGCAGAATACATTTAGGGCCAATTAAACTTTCGCTTTAGATCATCTACATTCCGGGGGCATCCCAACAACAGGTGGACAACCTCTTATACTTCATTTTCTTTAGCAATCCGAGCAGAAAAGCCGTCCCCTGCCAACACGCTGCAGAGAAGAACCTTTGCTTTCTGTGTGGAAGCAGTGGTCTCTCTGCAGAGGTCCTACACGTCAGACTTATAACTCTGCATTCAGTCACCCTTATAATACTGGGCCAAAGGCCTTGCCTACAACACAGCTTCCTTCCCCGTGTACAAGAGACAGGTCCCCTTAGACACCCCCCCACAGCCGCTCCAATCACAGAGAGACGTCGGAACGGTTCATTGTAGATTTTATTGACATTCCCAATAGCCTCTTTTAAAGAAAATAAACATCTTTTAGAAAGCTTGGTACACACATTCTTCAGTGTGAAGCATTTTTGTTTTTTACTAAAAAGAACACTAGCTTTAACTCCTCAGTTGCCGGAGGAGCTGGCAAAAAAAAAAAAAAAGGAACAAGGAAAATAAAAGAACCAAACAAACCACGTGGTGAGCTTCTGCAGGCCTCCCGGCAGCTATGGGGTTAAACATGTACAGTCTTCATATATTATATATGCATATGTATACACATATATACACACACACACCAGAAAATGAGGCATTGTCCGTACTTCGTCAAACACTTTTTGTATGTACAGCAGGGCCGGTGCCGAGTGGGGTCAGCTGACGGCTCACGCCGTGACCCCCCCCTGTCCTCCGGTGGGCGCGCTCCTGCCATGCACCTCCGCTGCAGTACCGGGATGAGCCTGGCAGAGGGCGACGGGGTGAAATAAACTCGTACTAGTCCCCTGGGGTGATGCAGTCACTGCGGTAGCCATTTGGCGGCCATCTTGTCCGGGAAGTGAACTGCGCTCCCCTAGGCCGGCGCCATAGAACCAGGGCCTGGCTTTTGTCTCGGGAGTCGGGGTTACCATGAATCTGGCGATCTTTGGAAGGTGGCAGGAATTTGGGGACAGATGTCACGTGGAAGTTACCAGTTCAAAAGCGAGCTTCCAGCCGCCACAAAAAAGGAACGGCGTTGCGTGAAGTCGCGCATCCATCAAACTCAACGGCGCTGGTAAAGAAATCCACCGTGTGCTGGACACCGTTCCGGGCCAGACGGCTGATGTGGTCACCGGGTCACATGATACCTGTCAGGCCAATACGGTCTTGTTCCCGCTGTCCTTGTCCCGCCGAAGCTGCGCACACAACGTCCCTGCTATTCCTTCCCTGTCCACACATGGGCGCCGCAGAGCCTGACTCCTCTGCGAATACAATGACGGTGAACAGCTCCTTCCCTCCTGCTGGACGCGGTGACTGTGGAGGAGTGAATAAAAGGTCGCGGGTGTGATGAAAGTGATGTCAGCTTCTAGGACGGTTACACCAGGTGCCTCTGCAAAGGGTCAAGCAATAGGAAATGTTAGTGAACGTCATAAACGCACAGCAATACACAAATTGAACGTGATAAACGCACAGCACTACACAAAGTGAACGTTATAAACGCACAGCAATACACAAAGTGAACGTTATAAACGCACAGCAATACACAAAGTGAACGTTATAAACGCACAGCACTACACAAAGTGAACGTTATAAACACACAGCACTAATCAAAATGAACGTTATAAATGCACAGCAATACACAAAGTGAATGTTATAAACACACAGCAATACACAAAGTGAACGCCTCATTGGTGGCTATACAATATGCTGCTTTGCACATCATTAACTGAACAAGAGTTCATTTCTTTAGCTGTTGGGTATGCAGAGTGACCTCCTGATAGGAGTTCTTGTTCCAGGTCAGAAGCTGTGGGATCAGCATGACAGCCCGGGATCTAGTATTCTGAGGAGAGGTAAGAAGTTGCAGCTTTCTATAAAGGAGACATTTGAATAAAATGCATCTCCAGGATAAAGGAATGCACCATTGCAGGAACTACAAGAAATAATTGCCCATTAAAGTCTAAGGGACTTACCCGATCCCCGCTCACACAGGCCCTCAGACCGGCACCCGCAGCCTCTGCCCCCCCTACGCTCCAGTGGTCTGAGGCCCGCTGATGTCATCACATCTAATGCCGGACCCATAACCCTGTATAATACAAGAGGATGCTGGGAGACAGTCCAGAGATGGAGTGTAGGGAGGAAGCGTCGACTCCTGGGGGAGCGGGGGCCAGGGAAGTAAAAGACAAAAAGAAGCAGGTAATCCTTGGTGTGTGTGTGTG